AGGATACTGAGAAGTTCTTAAAGGAAATATCTACTAAGAATTGGTAGCCTCGCTGGAATTTAAACTATAAACTTACCACTGTGGGTTTTAGAAGATAGTCTGAAGCAAAGCAGAAGTAACTGTGTGAGTTGAAAGCAACCTCCCCTAGTTTTGTTTTTTTTTTCCTGCTAATAAACACCTTGCAAATTTTCTATCCTAGTCTCAGTTTCATATTTGTCTGCTATGACCTGCACAGCTTTATAAGAAACAGAATGTCTTTGCAGCAATTTCATTTGCATATTTCCAAATAATTTGCATACAGCCTTCAGCAAACATTTTTTCTGATTCTTCCTACAGAAGGAAGGTGAGGAGCTTCTGATGCATGCATGCAGTAATGAGGATAAGGGGATCTGCATTGTCTGGCTGTGAATATTAAGAAAGAAGTTGTCCTGACCATGGTTTTGTCAAGCATGGAAGTCCCTCCTTGAGTTTAGAAGATGCTGGGACTAAGAACCACAGTCATCCATATTTCTCAGTATGGAGAGAGGCACTTAGGAAGATGAGCAGCAGTACAACCAGGGCAAGGGATTTCAGTAAGGCACGCAGACAGGGAAGGACACTGCACTCCACAAGACCTCTTTGCTCTGTGCGCTGGGGCAGCACAGCGCCTCAGTACTAAAACTGGCTGTGGTCTGGGAAGAAATGCAAGCTGGTCATAGTGACACAAACAAGGAATATTTGGTGCCTTTTTTAAAGAAGTCAGGAACAGATGTTTCTAGATGCAGTTTGGGTATTTCTCATCTGTGAATCAGCAAAAATCAATCATCCCGAGGCTAAGAGCTGTCACTCCCTCCTACAGCTCCTGAGTCACTTCACTCCCCCAGAGATGGATGCATGAGCAGCAACCACTTTTTGAACTGCACTATGTACACTGATACTCAGCATTTAATTCACAGTGATTTGTGATTGCCTGGATCCTCTCAGGGTCAGCTGCTAGCCTCATCAGTGCTGATTTCTGAAAATATGTCTTTTGATAATCTGTCTTCTTCCTACCTGTTAGACTATGCTTTTAACTAATAATAGATTCTAGGTTCATATAATTGAATAATCAAAGCATTGCTTGAACTTTTCAGACCTAAAAGAAACCTGCTATGCTTTTTCAATATGACTTTACTAATGCAAAACTGACTGCTCCACAGATCAGGTTTTTTTCTCAAATTGTACAGAAGCATTGTGCTTCTGGAATGACACTTCAGCCTGCTTTTGCTAAATAGGTCAATAACACCTCGAGATTAACTGGTTTAAAGTGCCAGCACAGGCAACCCCTAACCTCTCTTTCTTAAAACAGGTGATCCTACTGTTGCTAAGTTTGCCTTTAATGCTTCATATGCTTCTTTCTTTTGATGAGCAGTGTTTATCTAGAAATGATTGGAAATTTGCTACCTGTGTTAGAGTGGTAGTGTTTAAATATCAACCACTTGATTTTATTGTTGATTTGGTTAGGTTGTTTTTTTTTCTGTTCTACTTCTAGCTTCCAGAGAATATGTAATTTTAGGAAAAGGAGTTTGTGTTCAAACATGAAAAATGTCAATTTGCATCAACAGAAGTTACCTAAGTCCTCCTACTTTCAGTGCAGCAACAGGAAAGCGTGGCTGCAGGGCTGCTGTGGGACTATGCCAGCCACCACAGACAAGGCTGCACAGTAGGAGGGGGAGGGAAGAGAGGGAGAGAGGCCTCAGAGAACCCCTGGGAGCTCTGGCATGGGGACATGTAGTGTAGGAGTATGTGGTCATCAGCCTTTTGCAAAAAGCAGGAAAGTAATGCTGGAGGCACCACAGAGTGCAGCAGTAATCAGATGCTAATTCAAAATGAGGCACTTCTAATTCTCCTTAAGGGCATTTCCACTTCAGACAAGGTAGTTCACCTGACCTTTTCCCTGGCAGAGATGTAAGAAGGTCTGAAAACAAACACTGGGAGCACAGCTTCATTCAGCTCTTGGAAAGCCTGCTTAATATTCTGAAAAGTCACCCTAATCCTGTCAGTATTAACAGCAGGGAGATGGCAAACCAGCTCTTTCAGATACAGCAGAAGCAGTGTTAGAATGCACCGAATAATTCCACTTTGACCTAAAATTCTGTTTTGTTACATGCTAGTTATTTTTAGGCAGGCATTTCTATGACAGTGATGCTTTTATCCAGAATAACATGGCCCTCAGTCTGTGTTACTCCCTGAGCTGAAGCCAGCCCCACCTGCTCATGCAAGCAGAGATGCTGTATGCAATTAATTTGGCTGGAGCTGCTCCTGCCTCCCCTGAACACTTCACAGCCACTGTATCAGTCTGTGGGAGATGCTGTGCTCTGAGAGCACAGGTGCAAAGTGGCTGCACAGCAGCTGGCAGAGGCACACAGTGTCTTTTCTTAGCTTCACAAAAGGCACTTAGTGAGGTTTGTGGCAAGCCACTATCTCCACCAATAAGCAACAGGCCTTTCATATCTGGATATTGGCTTAAAATCTTTAGCCAGTCCATCACTCAAGCACAGTGATCTCCCTAAGTTAGTGATTATCCCTCCCCAAGGAGGACAAGGTGTCCTCTCCCCTGTCCACACTAGAACGAACATTTTACAGCAATTCTGATAGGCATGGTGGCAAAATGTTTAGTCCCTTTACCACTTTGTCCCCAAGCCCAGACTAACATCTAGTGGCACTCTCTGATGGTCCTGTCTCTGAGAGAAAGCCATGGTAGGAAGAGGCTCAGGGAAGGAAAGGCCCTGACTAGCAGCCCCTGCTCTGGCTGTGGATGGTCCGTAGATTAGGAATGAGCCAGACCTCAGAGTGCCCTCATCTTACCCCAAGCCTGACCCTAGCAGCTTCCCTGGCTCTGAAGCTCCAGCAGCATGCCCAGCTGCTGCAGAACTTCATGTATTCCAGTTTTAGGTGCTTAGCTTTTTCTCTTCTTCTGAACACACCAATCGGAGCGTGAAATGCTTGCTTTCACATTCAGCACAAAGCTCAGCCTGCGCTTTATATCCCATTTCCTTTCCCCGGCCATCACGTCCTGGCACAAGACCAGCAAGCAAGCAGAGCTGGCACAAGGGATAAGCCCAAACACAAACCTGTGACACAAACCTCCCTTTCCCTCTTTTCTCCTCCCTGAGGATTGTGCTGCTCACACTGCACACCCAGCCTTCCAGGAAGCTCCCAGGCCTGTCTGGTGGCCCTGTGGTGGTATCCTAGGACTCCTAAGGGCACAGTTGCACTATATATCAACAATAAAACTTCTAAATGCTAAGAGTCACGTTACCAGCAGTGACTAACATGTTCCGTAAAAAATGCCGGAGGAAGCTGCTAGAATATGCTGAAGGTAGTTATAAACTGTCCTTCTGAGATTAGCTTCTTGGCAGTTGGTCAAAACCTATTTACTGAAATCTTTGTTACTTCTTTTTGCCTTCTCAAGTGGCCTCAGTCACTCAGTTCTACTGCTGGGAAGTACCATGAGGCCAGAGTATATGCTGTCCTTTCAAACCGCACTCCTCAGCTGCTGGGACCCCACCAACACTATGATAAGCCTGTGTCCAGAAATGATGCCCCTGGCTAAAAATTGATTATTTAACAGAGCTACTAAAATAATTGGGATCTCTCTCTTTAAGCGTTTGACCCTGAGGCAGAAGAGGGGAGGGAGTGAGGGAGAGAAGAGAGAAGATGGTAATCGCTTTAGATAACAACCTGAGTCATGGTAATAGCAGCCTAATTGCTATCCAAGGGCTTTTAGCAGGAAACAGGCACACCTAGAGAGGCACTCAAGCAGAGAAATATTAGTTTTAAATGGAAGGACAACAGACATTGCAATGAACTTTCATCTGAGCACAACGGAAAGTAAGAAATATTTGTTTGCTTATGCAAAAATCACCTTACATCCAAGAGCTACTTGCTGCTGTGGATGGTGTATAATTCACGTGAGAAACAGATACGTGCCAGGGCTCAAAGTGAAATGGGGATTAATTCTTAGGCAGAAGAAAAGAAAATAGTCATGTTTTGGGAGGAAGTGGTTGAATGCTCTCTCTCCAGAATAAATCAGTTTCCACAATGATTTTTACCATTCCATGAATAAAATTCACAAATATCAGTTCAGAAACACGAAGTAGGACCTTTATGTGAAAGCAGGTGTGATCATACTAAGCAATTTGCTTAGGAAAAAGCTCATATGAAAGGGATGATTTGCCATTGATTGATTGATCCATCCCATGTAAATATCCAACAGCACTGCTGTCTTTCTTACACCAAAGATCTGTCTGCACTGCTTTGAAGTGTACGGCAGAAGTAGCTCTTTCCTCATAATACCCAGCTCTAAATCTGACTGCAGCACTGTGAAACAGCAGCTTAAGGGTCAGCCCAGTAAATGAGACCACGTTTCCACAACGGTCTGTGGGCAAGCCGCTCGGTCCCTGTTCCCCAGGTGCTGTTACTATTTCCTAAATCCGTTCTCAGAATGGAGGCTGTGGCAAACAGATGTTTCCTGTAGCTCTCAGTCACAGCCCTGCTAGTTAGAAGAATCAACACCTTCTGAGTCATAGATGATAAAATGCCACTTTGTTCACACAGTATGTGCTGTATGCAGTGAGTCAAGTTGAGCCTGAGAATCAAGTATGGCCTCTGAGGTGTCAGGTGTATATGTGTAACTACACATTACTTTGGACGTTTCCCTTCCAAATATCATTTTCCTATTTGTAACTTGCATTTGATCGATTTCCAGAAATATTGTAAACCAAGAATTATCCATCTTGTATTGCTGAATAATAGTATTGGGGTAGGCTGCTATGGCAACAGACATATGATCTCCGGATTCACACATGAAATGATCATATGGTAACAGCTTTTCAGATACCCCTTCACTGTACAAGCAAGAAAGTATACAAAGCTATCCCAGTAACCTTGGGAAGAGAGCAGCTATGAAATAAACTGAGATTTTTACTACACTACATTGTTTTGAAATACACATAAATGCATGCTTCACATTTAAAAGGAAAAGACACAAAACAACAGAGTTGAATCACTGACATAAAAATATCTGATGAATATTTATTATAAATTAGTATTTACATTATACTTACATTTGGAAATTCAGCCAATCATGGATTGGCATTGCCAGTGTGTTTACATATCAAATCAGGTAACCATCCTTGTCCATGAGGCAGCAAATTACTATTTTCTTCTTCTTAAGAGCTGAAGTTTTACAGAAAAGGACCTTTCTATTAGAAATATATTAGGTTCAGCTGACCTTGACCAAAGGTCAAAGGAGTTGTTCACACTAATCACTGAGGCTTTGACTTAGCCTTTATTTTTCAATTTGGAATTCTCCTAAAAAGAGGCGAAGATGAAGTAGAATTCATTTTATTATCACCACTGTCCCATGTGGCCACTCCACAGATGCAGGCCTGTAGGCTGTTGACCAATATGGTATCTGTCTGGCATAGGTCACCAGCATCCACCGTAGAAGTTCAGTTCATACAGTGCAGCTACACATGCATGCTCCCACTGATGATGTCTGTCTGGAAAGAGTTTTTGCTTGCAGAAATGTTTTAATAGGAAGACACCAATAGAATAATTAGAATTAGTATAGAATAAACTCTGAAGTGTCTATCATTTGATAACATTAGGAACAAATGATTTATAAAAACACATGAAGGGGTGACATAAGTGAAGCTGTTTGGGGCAGGAGGTGGGCCAGACTAAATTCTCTGTTTCTGTGGCTGTGCAATCCCCGTGCTTTCAGTGTTGTAAGTGATAGCTTCTTGCAGGCCCTCAGGTAGTAGGGCAGATTTCAGGGAAGGAAGGTTGAAATGAGATGTCAGGTAAGGGGGAATAAGGAGAACACCTGGAAGAGTGTCATACATTCCTAGTCATTTTTCTACCAAAATATTTTTAATATCTATGGCTCATTGAAATAAGTCTTTGGGAATACTTTTTTTTTTTTTTTTTTTTTTTTTTAACTATATACCATCTAGCACGTGATAGAGGGACATTTGTGCAGTACAGATATTTTTACTTAATATGTGCTGGAAGGTTTAACTGGTAGACAGAAAATAAATTTATATGAAGCAGAAAGATGCCTTGAAAGAAACTAAAAATTGAGTTTTCAGAATGTAAGAGCTTTCTAGCTGCAGACATTCTAATACTATGCATTAGTGTTGCTATACTGGGAAATATGCAGACTGGGTGTGCTAATTTCTGAGAATATTTGTTCACTGGCTATTTGCAAGAAGCGGCTGATGACAATGTCCTTGGCCTTGGTGGTCTCCATTTTCCTCTCTCGTGATATCTGTGTGCTGATTTGGTCTACATTAGTCATGATGAGCTCTGAGGCCAGGATCTGTGTGGGGGATGCCCTGTTGGCTGTGCTGTCCATGATGTACTGCTTGTACAGCTCCATCAGCTTCTGCTCCAGGTAGTCGTTGAGGGCTGAGTCAGAGAGGGGCTGCTGGTGCGGCACCAAGCTTGCCACACGCCAGCATGATGAGAAGCCTTGAGCCTGCTTGCGGCCTGTCTCGCTGGGGGGGACCCGCATGGACTCCATAGGTGGAGGAATCTCTGAGGACTCCAGGAAGGGGCCTATGCCACTGTCACAGGTAAAATCGGTTGCCACTGAGCTAATAGGCACCACGCAGTCCCCAGCTATGTGCAAATCATTGTAGTTCTTGCAAATGCTTTTGCAGGAGGATGGAACCAGGTAGGTGTCTCTTCTTGCCAGCCCTTCAGAGACATCCATAGCTGGAGATGCCTGCCCTTCAGGCAGTGAGTGCTGCATGGGCTGTTGGAGTTTGTCTTTCTGCCTTCTGCTATGTTTGCTACCTCTGGAGTGAATTGAAGAAATGCATTTGCCAGCAGATCTGCATCTCTGAAGGAGGCTTTTTCCTTGTGCTTCATCCCTGGAGGAACAATTAATGGCCCTCATTTCATACACCATTTCCTCCACTGCTTGATTGGTGCAGAGCTCAGAGTCTTCACAGAGGTAGGCAATTCTGTAAAGGTAACCTTCTGACAGCATCCTTCAAGAAAGCAAAGGAACCACCAGCAGACAGAAAAATGACAAGAAATCATTAGTTTATTACCAGGTCATTGAGTGGTAACTATACTCACAGTTCTGTTACTAGCTACAGAGATATCTTTCCAATTTGGGCATTAACAAGCATCTGTCTTTCTGAGAGATGTAGTGAAATAATCGATTTGTTTCCCTATTGTGATGTTAACTCCATCACGTCTAAGTATATTCTGTGTAACATAGCATGTGGTATAGAATCATAGAATCACAAGGTTGGAAAGGACCTGCAAGATCATCTAGTGCAACTGTCTTCTCATTACCTTGCTACCACAGGCTACTAAAACACATCTTGTAGCTCCTCATCCAGACGCCTCTTGAACACTGCCAGGGACGGTGACTCCACCTCCTCCCTGGGCAGCCATTCCAGTGCTTGACCACCCTCTGAGAGAGAAAGTTTTTCCTCATGATTAATCTAAACCTTCTCTGGCACAACTTGTGGCCATTTCCTCAGGTGCTGTTTGCTGCCTGGGAGAAAAGACCAAACTCCTCCTCATCACAACCTCCCTCCAGACTGAACATTCCCAGCTCCCTCAGCTGCTCTTCATAAGACTTGTGCCAGTCTCCTCACCAGCTTTGATGCCATTCTTTGGACACATTCCAGAGCCTCAGTGTCTTTCTTTGAGGGGCCTGTATGAATAATCCATCCAAAGACAAGTGAGTTCAGAAGAGAGGAACAGCAAGTGGTTTGTTGTAGTAATAACTGTTGTAATAGTTCACGCTTAAATATGCATATTTTTGCTTGTGATTTCAGTTCAGAAGCCAAGGGTTTTCCCCACCTTTTCCAAATACTTTGAAGCAACTTCTACTGTGTTTGGTTTGTCATCTGTTTCTGAACTAAGTTAATTTTAGATTCATATTTAGAGTGTAACTCTGTCTTTTCTATACTGATCAATGACTGCAAGTGTGGTTCCCCTTTCACAAAAAATTCTCAGATTGTGAAATCAGCATTTACTACTTTTGCATGAGCAACCTGTATAGGCTTGAGCAGTGGGCCCAAGAGAACATCAGGAGGTTCAACAGAGCCAAATAATGTAAGGTCTTGCACCTGGGTTGTGGCAACTTCCACTGTCAGTAGTACAAGCTGGGGGATGAAAGGATGGAGCACAGACCTGTCAGAAAGGACCTGGGGGTCCTGATGGATGGCAAGTTGGACCAGCAGTGTGTCCTCACAGCTCAGAAAGCCAACTGCATTCTGGGCTGCATCAAAAGAAGCAGGTGAGGGAAGTGATCCTGCTCCTCTACTCTGCACTGGTGAGGCTTCACGTGGAGTACTGCATCCTGATGTGTAGTCCTCAGTACCTGAGAGACATGAACCTGTTAGAGTGCACCCAGAGCAGGGCCACAAAAATGATCCAAGGGATGGAACAACTCTTGTATGATGGACAACAGGCTGAGAGAGCTGGGGCTGTTCACCCCGGAGATGGGAAGGGAAGGGAAGGGAAGGGAAGACAGTGGCCTTTCATTATCTGACGGGGGGATATAAAAAGGAAGGGGACAGCCTATTTATGAGGGTCTGTGGTGATAGACAAGGGGAATAATTTTGAACTAAAAGAGGAAAGATTTAGACTGAATATAAGGAAAAAGTTTGTTGTTGTTGTTTTTTTTTACAGTGAAGGTGGTGAGACGTTGAAACAGGTTGCTTAGAGAGGTAGTGGATGCCCCATCCCTGGAGACATTCAAGGCCAGGCTGGAGGCAGCTCTGAACAATCTGGTGTAGCTGTGGGTGTCCCTGTTCACTGCAGGAGATTTGGACTAGATGACCTTTATTGATCCCTTCCAACACAAACAATTTCGTGATTCCATGATAAGCTGGATATGATTGTCTGTAGTTTTTAGACATTAAAATGTCAGTGGCATAAGCAAGGCTTTTCAGAGGCATGCATTCATAAGCTCTGAAATCATCTTTTTGGTTCTAGCAGCCACTGATCCTCTCCTGGTAGCTCAGTTTCAAAATCTGTGTAGATGTCAATGACAAATAAGACTCACTAGCAGGAACAGAAATGTCTCTGCATGTCACCAAATGTTCTGCCCAAGTCTAAGCTGTTCCACTGCCATATAATTGTTTTTAAGTCCACCTTTGTGTCTTTTATTTAAACAGATGTCAAGGAATTAATTCACAGGAAATATGTCATAAAGAAATTGTGTGGTCCAGCAAAGAGAACATAAATCTGAGTTACATAGATAGATTTTTCCTTAGTACAAAGTATCTTGTGATAGAGAAGCAAACAGATTGTCTTTGTGTAAACAGTGATTACTTCTTTCACTTACTGCTTAATCCATTCATATCATTTTAATCCTTATGGGTATTGTCTGTGCAGCATTTGAGCATATGTCCCAGTTATTTCTCAAAGCACCTGCTGTGAAGGAGCGCTATGCCTCACACTGTGAGTGGGGAGGTGGGATCTCTCTGGCACATGCAGTGCTACTCCATGCTGTTGTTGGCTGTTAGATTCTTCATTTACAAGATTGAAAAAGAAAATTTTGTAAAATTTTCATTTCTTAGTCAGACTTTTCTTTTGCTATAGTTGCTAGTGCCAAATGCTGTAGTAGTAATACATGTTGGCTAAATCCTGACTATAGACTTTATGCAGATGTTGGCAAGAAAACAGCTTGATACTTTCCCCAGAAGGGAAATAAATCATTTCCACATTAAGAAGAAGGCAGCTGGAAGAAAAGTAAACTTCCCTCAGAAGGAAATATTTGTGAAAATTAAATGTATCCAAACACTTTGGTGACCCTGGAGCCCCTCTGCTGCTGCAAGTCATGTGGGATTTCGCACCAACAGGTAGCATTTAGTGAAATATAGTCTATTTACACGAGAGGCAAAAAAACAACATACTTATTTGGGGCCTGGCATTCCTTAGGGTACCTTGCTGTTGCCTTGCTTTAGATTTTAGCTGTGGATGAAGTACCACAACAGAGATCTTACCCAAGTGCTTGAACTGCTCAGCTTGTAAGCCCACCTCTCTCTCCTCCTTCTCCTTGTGCAGTGCAAAAGCTGTTTCCTTCCCTTGCTCACCCTGGGCCAGAGAGATTTAGTGTCAAATTATCACTAACTTAGGCAGTCTTGAACATGAAATTGCTATGCAATTATTCCCACACATACTTTTAATGTTGATTCTGAGAAATGAGTGAAAATATAACACATGGCCTATTCACTTTTTAACCAAAATGCACAAAGCCACGTGTGCTCAGGTAGCATGTGACATGTCTGTCTTTCCTACTGCCCAGATGTATCTTGTTTCTGTCATAAGGTGATGCATTAAGGAAATGAAACTGCTGGTTTCATTTCTTCATGCTGCCTTCTGCAGTACTTGTTTTCAGAGGTTTAGAGCACACAGTCTAAGACTGGAATAATAGCAAATTCAAAAACATTAGGCTTCCATCTTGCTTAGGATTTATATACTTGGCTCTTGGAGTTACAGGACTACCCTTGGAAGGTTGCAAGGGCTGTGGCACTCATCTGACAGCACTCACAGAACTGCTAGGAAATCTAATTGATATTTTGATAGGCAGTGTTCAGAGCTCAGTGTTCAGAGCTGGAATGCTAAGTGAGCTACGTGTGTCTCTCTGATCCTAATAATATATAGCCATGTCACATTATTCCATCACTGCTGATGGCTGGGCACTCAGCTGGTTCACCCTTAATTCCTGTACTTTATATGAGACAGGGATGACAGTTCTCATTAATTCTGCTTTCTTGTGTCCCTTCTCTTAATCCCCCTTTTGTACTGTACACATGTATATGCACTAAGATTCTAAGTGCTTCGGAGCTGTATCTACTGCCTTTCAATATTTTGAGTTTCATGGTCCTTAAATTTGACATTCGCTTCTCTTGTCCTGAAAATAACTGTGTGACTTTTGTTACACAAGGAAAAACAGTCCTGTTTACAATATTGATCTGATGCACTTTGCATATGATTTGAACAAGCAGATATTTCCTTGTGCAGACACTGCATCAGCAGTGGGAGCTATCTGCATCTTACCTAAGCACAGATTGCAGTGGAAGCACAGGGAGAAGGCTGTCTGACTTACAGTGTTTGCTATGTTATCATAGCCCTTATCACTCTCAGAAGCTCTTGAAAAGTCATATTGTCTTCCCTGGGGCTTTTGTTCAGTTCTTCAGAGGAATAAAAGCCTGAAGGCAGGATGAATGTTTAAAGCTATGTGGAGAATACAGTGATATTGCTACTATTTTCTAAGTGGCAGCAAATTTGCTGGAATATAATGCTTGGAGATGGTGCCACTGTTTGCTTGAAGACCTCATATTAGAGTCTGAAAGCAAGCACATAGAATGGGAGTTCTTGGCTCGGGACAAGCAAAAGACTTAAGGAAAGCCTGAGAGGTGTACGCAAAGTTATGTGATGAATGGTGACCTATATAAAAACCCTGAGCATGATCAGAAGTTGCTAGGGAGAATGGAAAGAGCATGGTGCCAGCTGGGATCACAGATCATAGGGAAAAGTACACTCTTTTGCAACACAAAAGGAGGAAATTGTAAGCTCACGGAAGAGACAAGCCTGTTTTGAAATGGAGTATGTCTGGCTTTCAGCTCTCTGAATGAGACTCTAAACTGTACTGAAGTTGTGTTGTTCAGTTCAAGTTATAGCACAGTGTAGCTTTAAGCATTGCTTAGTTAAGCTGTCAGTATTGCTTAAGTAACTTCTCTCTGACTTACTAGATTGGACTGTAATTAAAGTCTCTATCTCAAGGGAACCCAAACCCTGTGGATCCATCGTTGGTACATTTTTTCTCAATCTTAACAGACACTTGTATAGACTAGGGAGAAACCAATTCCTTCACAGGGGTTTGAGATTCACCTCAAACTTCAACACATGGATGCAAGAGTTCCCCTGGCAAGCAGGTTAGGCTGGAACAGAGAGCCTGCATATGCTGCAGGACTCAAAGGTCACCTCCTACCAGCTCCTGGGAAGCCAGCATAAGGAAATCAGGTCAGTGAAGAAGGTAGTGAAATTAACTGTTCATATGGATAAGTGTAGCCTTTTTTTAATGCACAAAACCCAAGGATTTTTAGTGTCTGAACCCTATTTCATGAAGATTATGTCCAGTGCCCAGAGCTGGCTTGGGTAAACAATGGGGGCTGTTTTTTGAGGCTGGAGTTGTCCTACTTTGCCCACAGTAGAAGAGGACTAGCAAAGAGGGGTTTCTACACAAGCATTGGAATGCTACCCATTGTGCATGTATCTTCCTCTCCCTACTGCTACAGAAGATGTGGAACCTACAGGGCTGCCCCACAGGGTTCTGGCAGCAACAGTAGCAGTTATGAGCTAAGCCTCTCATGCTCCCTCCCCACAGCTCTCTAGCTCCAGTCCTTTTGTCTTCTCTCAAAAGAAAATTTGAGCCAAGCCCATCTTTACTCACAACTCCATAGTTCAAGAGATGCAGGAAAGCTTGGAGAACCTCCTGCAAGGGATGTATGGGAATGTTGTGGGGAACAAAGTTTGAGAGGATTATAATCCTGTATATTACTTTCCCAAGACGCAATACGCTTTATACGTTTATTGTAATGTTGGATGTTCTTGTTTGACCAATGTCTACCCACTGACCTCCAAGAGCAGCTGGCTTCTCTCATTTAAAAATAATCTTTTAATATTTGTTTGATGTTTCGTGTGGAGTTTTGTGGGTCAGGCTTCCATAAAAATACAGCAAAAACTCTATGAGGTAAACAGAGCTTCTTGAGCTCTTAGATCACTTCCCATCTAATTCTGTTTTATTAGCTGAAGTTCCTTGAAGCCTTGTTCAAGGCAAGCCTAATTCATCACTTTTCACTCTTCCCTTCCTTAATCATCTATACCTACACAGAGATATTTAGGACACTGTCTATTTTATTTGATAGCATTTCACATCTAATACAAAAAGCTGTAAGCATTAATACAAAATGAAGCAGGAACAGATCAAGCTCCATATTCATAAGGGCAACTTGACTATAGTGTAGATCTACACTGTGCTTTTCTTCAAGGGGGAAGTCATGTCATGTTTCTAGATTTCTGTTTTTATTTTAATGAGTTGTCGGCTGTTGCTATGACTGAACTATTTGGACTGACATGTTCTGTATCTAAGCAGTTGAAGTACAAGGGACGGATAGAGAAGGGAACACATTTTCTGGAACAGAAGAGAATGAACAGTAAAGCTAGATAGAAAATGCTAGATAGAAAATGCTGAAGGATCTTGCCTGGAAGAAGAGGGAGGAAACAGTGCATTAACAAGCCTTGAAACATTAATCTCATCTGCTGTAGAATGTAAAAAAAAGGAGTGCAAAATGTGCATATTGTGTGTGTACATACATGTCATGCTGTGGATTTGTACTGAACCAGAATATTGGCTGTAAATCAGGAAAATACAAGGACAAAATGTCTTTATTTTGGGTGATTTTTTTTGTTTGTTTGTTTGTTTGTTTTCCCCAAAAGGTCTCAACATTTTTCTGTGAACATATTTTAATACAAATCCCATTTTATCTGTTATGGTGCCTATTTCTATTTCTAGTCTACAAATAGTGTACTCCACTTCTAAGATTATTTGGACAGCATGCTACCATGTAAAGAAAGACCAAGAAAAATACCATAATTATGACAAAAGCAATACATCTGATAAGACTCCCTTTAAAAGTATTCTGAAGTACGTTATTTCAGTATGACTTTATGAGTCTTTAGAAAGATTGGAAGATCAATCCATATATTTTTTTACATTCACAGACACAGTCAGTCATGGATCTGAAGATAGACAGCACTTCTGAAATGCTCTTATTGTTTCCTAAGGCAGCAGAAATTGCGTGTGGATGGTGGCTGGGGCTTTGTAAACACACACATGCACTAAGAACAGATAGGAAAAGCGTATCTTCATTTTACCAGCTACCAGATGTGATACCATACAAACAAAACCAAGCCACCTTGGTAAGGAAGAGCAATTATTTCAGATCTTTATGTACAAATGGTATGTTATGGTACTTACCTCTGAAGATCAGCAGCAGAGCAGTACAGAGTACTGGTTGTCTTGCAGTCAGTTTAAAACTTTCTATCCTACCCTAAAACACAACCTTCTGTTTTTATTTCCTTTTCAAATGCACTTCTAAGATGACGTGTTTTACTTCTAATCCTCTATAGCAGAAGTATAGAAAGAAAGTCCCTTAGGAGATGAGGGGTTTTTATAACTGACTGAACTTCAATATGCTTGACTTGCTTCCTCTTTTATGTCTAAATGAAACTTTGTTATGAAACTGTGTATAAATAGCTGATTGCAACACATTCAGTCCATGCAACCAGACTTCTCCTTATTAACTGTTATATAAAACAAGCAAACAAACAAAACCAACAAAGCCCTAGTGAACTGAACAATGCTAGAAAAAGTATTCATATTTTGGAGATATTTGGCACACCCAATTTTAACCATTATTTATCATTTTATTTTTAACAGACACATCAAGACATCTAGTTCAAGAATGTCATACCAAATACACCTGTCAAAGCAGAAATGCACTACACAGCAGCTCTATTTTATTGTCTTCAGATCTCTGACATCTCAGCTTCCACAAAACAGCACAGCTTAGCTGGTTAGTGAGGCTTTGCTTTTGGAGTATCTGCAAACCCTGTCTTGAGGAAGGTTAGACCCAGCATGCGCTCAGTACCTCAGGGCCTGCAGTTAGATCCAGGCAGACAGCATCTCTTAGCAAGGGCAGAGTGTTAAAATTCATTGGACAAGTGGAGTTCACTCTCTGAGCTTGAGATGCATGAAAGGCAACCAGGTTTTGTGAATGGTGCTGGAGTATTCCTGAAGGCTCAAAGGACATTTACTGTTTGAAGGATGTAATGGCAGGTCCAGTGCAGCAGGAATGTATTCCCATCCTCAAAAAAGAGAAATGCATTAAGTGAGCTGCTCCACCAAAGAAGCTTAGTATAAATCTCTGCTTAGCCTGGGCCTGCTTTGTCAAATAGTTCAGAGGCAGCTAACAGCCTGCCAGCTGTAGGTGAAATGTCTGTTCAAGAAATTATAAATGGGGAGTGTTTGAGAGGACCCTTATTCCATTGCCTTTTCTTAAAATCAGTAGTATGAATAAGTGCAGAAAATAAATCAATTTTCCTGTTAGTGTATCCAGGCAGGTATGTGTGCACCAAGTGCATGCTCTTTTCTCCTCTCTTCTACACAAATTAGAAGACTGCTCTTATCACAGTTCAGAGGTCTTTCCTTCTTTCCCTTCCATCTCAACATGTCTTCATTCCTATTTTTTTTTTTTAACCTTGAGTGGTCAAATTGTTTTACCTATATTTTTTTTCCAGAAGTTATAAATACCACTGCATTAGTGCATTCCAAATGAAGTACGTTAGCGTACAAGTGATCCAACCGACAGCAGAGAGTATGCTGCGGTTTCCTTGAACAACTATGCACAGGCACACAAGTATATAAGCCCTGTTATTTAATCTGCAGTGTATGATTCACAAGTGGCTTGTAAAGTGTCAAAGGGCAATGTTCAGGGTTGGATGGCCTCTTCTTATTGACAATGCCTGTGAAAAAGTCAGAGACTTTTTTTTCTTTTTTGAAAGACAATTCAGATATAGACCATTGTGAACAAAAACGGCAACAAAAATCTAAATGTCACCAGCTTTATTTACACCTCTGGCTTCAAAAGAGGATAAAAGGCGATCCACAATGTATAGACAGATTGATAGACAGATACTGACTGAGACTGAAGTACACAGTAAATACTGTCAAACATCGGAGCATTTCAGTCAGCAGCAGAGAGCAGCTTGAAACTGCACTGTGCTGTTCAGAAAGCAAACTGTACCTATTCTTTGAGCAGTGGAGCTTATTATTTCCCATCTCAGCAGCCAACTTGACTAAATGGACTATCAGCAGCTATACCTGTTGTGCTTGCACCTTGCAGAGTCCTCCGTGGTCATTTTTTAAGCTTTCTAGGATGCAAAGACATCAGTCAGTTCTGGTCTTTCCATAGAATTTGTGTTGTGGTTGGACTAGTCCATTTTTTAAAAAGTCAGTTTGCACAGAAGAAATTCAGCAGTGCCTTTTATTTTCCTTCATTTTTCCCCAAGATACATTCTTTCTTTGTAAGTCCATAGAGTTTCAAATTACCCAAGTAAAATGTCAAGATTTGCAGGTTCTCTTTCTTCAGTTTTGTTTAATGCTTTGCATGCTCTGAAAACTTCTTTAAATGCTCAAAACCATCTAAATATTTCTGGAAACAAGGTGAAAAATATACCTTCATTATCATTCTTTGTTTGTAAATCTCAGTGCATGTAGCAAATGTACTTCTGGCTGTAAATAAATTAAGCAGCTGTTCCAGATCACTACACTTAAATGCTACTGCAGAATAAAAAAAGCTTAGGTCTGTATCTCAATTCCATAATGACAGATAATTTCCTACTGCAGGAACGCCAGCTTCTTGGAACACATTGTATTACAATGCATTCTTTGTTTCGCACGTCCAAAATGGTTACTCCTATCTGCTCACTTAATTAAGCAGTTATACCCTATGTATCAGAAAGGCGTCAGAATTAGATCCCTGGTAAGACATATCAAGAACCTCTTTGTCTGCTTGGGATGTATTTCCACTTTTTATTCAATATATGATGTTTATTTTGTACAGTGCAGTGTCTGAAGTGGAGACTCCTGCAGCCAACAACACAGTCCTAGAAGAGGATGCTGACATTGTTTTGCCAATGTTACCAGAGCAGGGTGCAGCCTGCCATTCTCTCTTCCCCTTGGCTTTCTTCTCCCAAGAACCTTTTTCTGACTTTTTGCCTTTGGGTGAGCTCTTCATTCCCTTCTCAGCAGGTCCCCAAATTTAATAAGCTTAACCTTCAGCAATTCCCAGCTGTAGAGAGGAGCAGCTTGTTTCATCTGCTGTGCCTTGAGGACAAAGAATACCATTCATCTCCACAGGACCAGCTCACTGCAGTATCAGCAGGGAGCTGCTGATTTCTTCATGGCTTTCCACTGATCAGATTTCTTCTGTGTCTGGATGGACTCTTTCATAAACCAAGATTAGGTGTGTAATTCCAAAATAAGAATTAGTTAATTATAAAACTTCCATGCTATATCCAATGGCAACAGAAACAGGCTGTAACACTGCCTACCTGTACAAGAGCCTACCACATGATATACATTCTAATTTTGTATTGATTCTTTTAGCTTTATTGAGTTTTTAGGTTTAACAAACTAAATCACATCTTGTGCTGCTAAACTACTTCTTGGTTTACTGACTGTTAATCACTGGTGGTGAGGCTTCAAGATATCAGAGAAAAAGTTTTAATCTAGCAAACAGGATTGTGCAATAGATAGTCTTTTCCCCTCTTTTTGTAGTGTTTTAGGATATGCCAACATAACATAATAAATTTGAAACCACTCGGGCTACTAAGGGTTTTTTTGATACTGTAACAAAGTTCCATGAAAAATTGCAGAAATCCGAGGTATTACAGAAGTCTGGTTATTTTAATTGTATTGGCACATGTCTGTACTTTCCAGGGAGAGCCACCCAGTGGCAGCTGGCTGTATTTATTGTGTATTTTTCTCACGCACTGACTTTTATTTTCACAGATTACCACATCCCTAACTTCTTGCTTTTACATCTTTTCAGCAGCCAAGAAAATACATTTTTTCAGCTCAGATTCCCAAGTAGTAAAATTACATTAAAAATGGTGTCTGAATTGAGGTGCTGTCTTCACAAGGCTTACAACAGTGAAGTTCTTTACTACGAGAGTGGTAAGGTGCTGGAACAGGCTGTCTAAAGAGGTTGTGGATGCCCCATCCCTAGAGGTGTTCAAGACCAGGTTGGATGGGGCCCTGGGCAGCCTGGTCTAGTAGTAAATGGGGAGATTGGTGGCCCTGCATATGGCAGGGGGGTTGGAGCTTCATGATTCTTCCAATTCAGGCCATTCTGTGATCAGAGATGACTGGGGAAGTAGGGAATCTGCAACAGAACAAAAAGGAAAAGAAAAAGGAAAAGAAAAAGGAAAAGAAAAAGGAAAAGAAAAAGGAAAAGAAAAAGAAAAAGGAAAAGGAAAAGGAAAAGAAAAAGAAAAAGAAATAGAAAAAGAAAAAGAAAAAGAAAAAGAAAAAGAAAAAGAAAAAGAAAAAGAAAAAGAAAAAGAAAAAGAAAAAGAAAAAGAAAAAGGAAAATCAATTATATATGCATAATAAACCAAGGAAACTTTTTCAGGTGGAAAATAAAAGAGAGTTTGCAAGGAAAGGTGATAGCAGGATAGCAGTAGAGTTTTAAACTGCATAAATACGAGGAAAGCAATGAAAGAAAAAAGTGGATCCAGGGTGATTTCTGAAAACAACAAATACACTTGCTTTGAAGTAGGACTCAGTACATTAAAAGTGTACGTTTGACGTTGTGTTGTTTGGAGGGCTTGCAGAAGACATATTCAGGAAGACCGGGATAGCAATAACACAAGAATTTAAGAATAATCTAGAACATGAAAAAAAAAAAGTCATCAATGCATCCTTGTAGCAAAGAAGGATAATAACTTTCTGTGCTGCACTAGACAGAGCATTGCCAGCAGATTGAAGAGAGCTGATCCTTGCCCTCTGCTCAGGCCTGGTGAGATACATTGGAGTGCTGGCCCAGGTTTGGGATCCCCTGTAGAAGATCCCCTGTGCACACTGGAGCAAGTTCAGCACAGGGCCACAAAGGTAATGAAAGCACTGAAGCGTCTGACCCAAGAGGAAAGGCAGAGGCTGCTCAGCTTTAAGAAGAGGAGGCTCAGGTCAATTCATTCATGTGCATAAATACTTGGCAGGGGAGTTCCCACCCTAGGAGGTGTTTGAAACATCATAAAGTCTCACTGACCCTGCCCTCCACAGAACCTGTAGTAGAGAAATTTCAGAGGCACTTCCAACCTCAGCTACTGTGGGATTCTACATAGTAAGGAAGCAGAAAATACAGAACTCAGTACAAAAGACAACAAATACTTCTTTGTAAGTATTTGTTGTTACTGTAACATAAAATAACAGTGATGTTTGAAATCACACCAACACAGTACATGAAAACATGGGACTGTAAGCACAACAATGCAGTAAATAAAAGCTGAGTACATAATAACATAAAGAAGTAATAGAACAATTACAAAGAAGAAATATGGAGACTAAAGTCAAAGGAAGATTTTTACGATGAAAGCAACTTTTGATATTTCACAAGTCAGGCTATTCTGCCTACTTTATGTTTCTACACATCTATGAGCAAGACACATGTTTATTAAAATCAATTAATAGCAACTATTCGCTCATATGAAACTTTCAGGAAAAAAAGACAGTCTTGTGAGTTTGGTTACTCAAAAAGGAAACAAATTAAAGTGATTTCAGTTATCAATGAAATCTGCAAGCAAAACTGGAAACTAACAGAAAGCAAACCAAAGGAGAAGCCAAAGGCCATATTTCCATAGAAAAAGACATTAATGGAATAAGTCTGACTGCTGGCCTCAAGGAACCAAAAGGAAAAGTAGGAGTAGTACCTAATAAACTGAGAAGTTTAATTTAAAGTCAGTATTAAGTAATGTTTGTATTGCTCTGGGTATTCTAGAAATACTGAAAAAATGTAGGGGCCATGTGTATCAGGTAAAGTTGATTATTTCCTTTTTTTTTTTTTTTTTCCCCTTAATTTGCTGTTCAAGTTTTGTTTGATTGGTAGTTGACATCTTAGTAACTTAGCAGATATTTTCATAAGGAAAGAAGTAGATAAGTCATCAGAAATTGGATATGCTTCAGCATCATCTTAAAAACTGAGCAGCCTTTCATGCAAAGTCAGTCAAGGAAAAGAAAAGACAATAAAATAATTATATACACCCAGATACCAGGCTGAGGAGCATTTGATAGCGGAGTGTAATTGACATTCTGCTATGAATTCACTACTATTACAAATAAGTAGGAAATATTTCATAACAATCCAGACTCACCCAGGCGTGATATGCGATGCAGCGATCACAGTAATTTACATGTAGCTGTGTACCAGAATTCTGCACTTTGGACTCAATACTGTTATGCCAAAGCAAAACTCACTCCTCTTCTGGATTATAGCTGCTTTCTGCCCATAAAGCAAATTGTGTGCTTATTACTTACAGAGTCTGGAGTGTGAGAAAGGTAGATATGTTGTACGTGCTATTGTCCTGTAGGTCTGCAGGTTCTATAGCAAGACTGCTGAGGTCAACTGAGATGACAGGTCCCTGATGACTGCCCAGTTGGACATGCTGTTTGCTTGTGTTTAAGTCGGGTACATCACCCTGAAGAAAAGACTGGCAAGCTGAGAAGCATATCTCCACATCTCCACAGTTATGCCTCACAGCCTCTCCATGATCCCAGGTAAAGCATCAAGCATCAAGCACGAGCTCTTCTAAAAAGCAGAATATGCCTGGTCACTCTCTTGCTACCTTTCAGCTCTAAGTAAGAAGAGGGCTGTAAAGAAATAACTTCAACTGTTCTGTTGCTTTCCTGTCAAGTATGATGACCTCTGGGATGAGCTGAGCAGGTTTTACCAGCTCTTCCTGACAACAGAAAGGCACTACCCATCCAATATGCAGCTCTTATAGCAGCCCAGGAAAGAGAAAAAATTAACAGCACCCTGATTCATAGCACTGAAAGGGATAGATTGATCCAATCTGTACTGGTAAACCGTGGTCAGCAGGAAAGGAGGGGAGCAGATAATCATATATCTATTTTATCTCCTTTGATACATAAATTGGCCAGCTAAAGTCATGAGGATAAAGAGTTTGGACATACCTTGCAAGCAGTGAGATGTCTGTTAACGTGATCAGCTGAAATGAGGAACAGCAGGTGTATCAGTAGTGAGGGGAGAGGAAACTTTGCTCTGTCTCCTAAAAAAATGACTGCTATGAAGGCACTTCATAATTGAGAAGCTCCTTTTACCTCAGACTGGTAGAAATCATTCTTTTACATTTTCATTTCCCCAGCCCACAAACCCAAAAGGTGCTCGGAATCACCTGCTGCATGAATGTGTGTGAAGGCACTAAGGAGAGAAGGGCAGTTCAGGCCTCATAAAATTTGCAGAGAGGAGGTAAGGCATATTTTGTAAGACTGCCTGAGAAACAGACACTCCACCCTTGAACTGCTTTTTCAGCAGCGTACATTCCAGTTACTCATTCTTTGCCTTCTGCAGTAAGTAAACCGAGTACTGCTCATAAAATTGTAAAATGAACTTTCCCATGATCAGGGAGATTGGTTATATAGTCTCTGAACCTTAGTCAACCAAACAGATGCAGACTAACAGGCACAGTATACATACTGTGAATAGCCTCTCTACCTGCAGAAGAACACAACACATTCAGGAAAAAAACATCATCACAGTGAGTAACTGCATATCAGATTTCTTCCTAAGGCTGGTTGTTAGAGTGTACCTGGTGAGAAGTATTTGCATAGTTCAACAATAGCACAGAGGTTGTTTCTTTCAGGAGAGATTTTCTGTAGAATGCCATAAATCTTATCTTCAAATTTTATGAGACTACCTTGGGAAAGAAAAAAAAAAAAAGGCTGTAAGCTATAAATATCTTATTTCAAAGAAAACGTATCACTCCTTTATTTGCCAAAGTACATAGCTCTAAAATGACTTTAAAGCATCTGAAATGTTCAGTGCTTAATTCTGTTATATAATTCTAAAATACTTCACAGCAGTGAAGGGTGGGGATATAAGAGACCTCTGACACCAAGGATAGGACTGTCCAGGGTTCTCTGTTTTCTAGGACCAAAACTCCATCACTGCACAGTCCTGTCAGCCCTGACAGTGGTGGTGATCAGTCCAGAACTCTTTGAAGCCCCATATTTTTTGCATTTCTAACCATTTTCAGGAAGATAGCCTTACAGATGCCCCCTCACAGGCAGCAGGTGGCAATACAACTATCTGCCTACTGCTGCCCACCAGTGACTCAAGAATTCACCCCTGCCAATCAGCGGCTCACAACCCACCAAGCAGCATTTGTCCTCCAGCCAACTTCCATGCTTCTTCACAAACGCTCCTTCACAGTAGCAATGGTGTCACTGCAGTGTCACTACTGTCATGTAGTGGCTAGTATTACTCCAAGAGAGGAGATCTCAGTGCAGCTGCCCCTCAAAGAACCACATCCTCTAGATGAGCCTTCCCAGTGTTTTGGTTTCCATAGACATTGGACAGAAATGAAAGCAGAAGCAAAGGAAGTGAAGGTTCTTTCTTTGCCTGAAATGCAGCCTTGGTGACTTGTCTAGTGCTATAAAACATATACTGATACAGCCCTTTCAGGGAAGCAAAATCTGGTGAAGAGCAGTGGTTACACCTATGAAAGGGGGAGAGATAGGGAGAAATATTTGAGACTTCCTTGAAAATCATCCAACCCACGTCCAACTGCAATAGCTTTACATCTGTATAATGTTATGTAGTTTAGAACAGCTGTGGCCATGCCCATGCCCTGCTGCTGCATATCATGGTGGCAGCTCTGCCCTTCTACATCACAGCTGTGCCCAGCAGAGCTCTCCAGGTGTGGGCTGAAGGTAGGATTGGGATGGCAGCATTAGAAACATGCTGTTAAAAAACAGAGTCTAAGGTTCCATGCTAAAAATAACTTCCTTGAGTTAATCCATTTGGAAGAAAAAAATCTCTCCATTATTTGACAAACTATATAGCTCTGAACTGATTTTAAAGCATCTGAAATGTTCAGTGGTTATTTCTGTTATGCAGTTCCTAAATCCTTCCTCTCCTGCCCTGTAAGCTGTCATGAGAGATGTGCTTTGTTAGCTGGGATCACCTGTTTCACATACGTTGTCTCAGTTGTCAAAATGACAAAAAGTAAATCCTCCTGCTGAGGTGTATAAAGAAAACATAGCAGTTCAGGCAGGGAAGAGCTCTTAGATTTATGTCAGCCTTCTAATTACTGCAACATTTTAAAAAGGAAGAAGCAAAAAGCAAAACAGAATCAGCCTTTCCAGAAGGTTTCAAAAAAAAAGCCCTCATTTAGATGCTGTGTACTCTATGCACTTAAACCACAGCATAACTGAAACTCTAGAGAAAAAAAAAAAAGTTTGTTGGTTTTTTTTTTTGGGGGGGGGGGGGGGGGTGTATGTATTTGGTTTCTTTAATCTTACAAAAAGTACTGTTGCTGACCAGGTATATCTTTTTTTCATCTATTGCATGTGGCTAGCAAGGGATAATCACAAAGAATACAACAGAAAAAGATGTTTCCAAAGTATTAAAATCAGAAGAGATTTCGAAAGTTTAAATAACACTGCTATTTTGCTTTGAATAAGTGTTATAGTGCTTTAATTATACTGTTTTCAAAAATGTTTTGCTGTAAGTTCTGGCTTTCTAATACCTGACCAATCTCATATACTTCCTGAGCAATTCTGTCCAAGGTCTCCAAAGAGTTCTCCATCACTCTTTTTCATCGATTCAAGCACCTCTATTAGCCATGAGTGAGAGCTGCAGACATGCCCCATTTGCTCACATAATTGTCATCTGGTATCCTCAAATACTGTTTCATTCAAATAATCAGGAATCTTTTCATTCTTTCAATTTATTTTATTTCTACCACTATTTGGAATGGAAAGCTTTTTTTTACACAACTATGTGAGTTTTATTTTTCCTGTAGATCACAGACTGAATAGTACTTTTAAAGAAGAAGGGTCAAATCCCAATTTCCTCAGTTTATTCAGAACCTTCCTTCATCAAACTTCCAAACCATTTAACTTAAGATACATACGGACTATGATGTTGAAACAAGAAAAAGCATTTTCTAATCTTACATTGATTTTTTTTTTTTGGAGTTGAAAGTGCTTAATGTTTTCAGAGAAGCACACTATAGATTTAGGGCCTGGTCCATTCATGTAAAACTCTAGTATGGAGAGGGTAATGAGCTGACCTTCTGAGTTCCCTCCTAGACTAAATTAATACTCTTCTCTTAAGATCAATGGTGTTAAGCTCTTAAAAACAACAACAACATCAACAACACTCACTACTTTATGTTATTTGATGTATACTGTATTATTTAAATACAGTGTCTGGAAATGGTATATTATTATGCTAAATCTTATATGCGTCCATATATATTTTATATTCATGTAATGTTACCTGCTAAAATATGTACATTATACATACTAAATAATTATAATTGCTTAGTATCATATCCATATACATTTATCATTAGCATTCATTGTGATTGGAATCATTCAGAATTAGTACAATTTCATAGAATCATAGAATCATTGAATCACCAAGGTTGGAAAAGACCTAAAAGATCATCCAGTCCAACCGTTCACCTATTCCCAATAGCTCCCACTAAACCACGTCCCTCAACACAACATCCAGCAATTTCACTTATTTCCATTTATTTTCAAAGTTCAAGTCTTTTTTAAAATAGTTGGGAATCAACCGGAAATGAACTTTCCTAGATTTCAGATGCCCCTGAGATTTCTGATACTCTGTTCATTCCTGTTCTAGCACACTTACAGGCTGCACCATTAATCACTGAAGAACCTGCTACAAAATGCATCATGGAAGTAGAATTCCCCATTTACTCATTTCTTATCTTGTTTACAAAAATATAACAAAGATAGTAGGCAAAGACATCCAAGAAAAATGTAGTTTGATGTTAAAACTTTAATCTAGTTTGTTCAGTAAGCAGTGACAAAACAACACATATAAAACAAACATGCACGTACACAAACACCAAGCATGTTTAAGGGCATCCATGGGAGAAACATCCATCTTATTTTCCTCTTAAATTCACTGCAAAGTCTCCATCTGACTGCATAGAGAGCAAGAATTTTCTTAGAAGTATTTTTGAAACATTCAGCAATGATGCACACACACATGCTGTGTGATGCTGTGTGGTGCCCTGGTCATTAACTAGACAGCAATTTTTTTTTTGCATAGAAGGGATAGAAAAACTTTAAATACACAGCATAAGAAATTCCACTGCATTGCATCAGACTGAATTCCTATCTCAAATAATATAGTAGAAATGAATGTACAAAAGAGCAATTAAATTTCTTTGTATTATTATACCAAAAATATAATTTCATATGGAATGAAGTTAGCTATGAATTTATCTTACAATAATAGGAACATTCTAATGTCATTAGAAAGGTGATTTTTCTATTTCTGCAGTAAGTATATGAATTTTACCACTGCTACAATGATGTTCATCATCTGAATGCCTTACAATTTTATCTATGCACCTAATATCTTTTGAGGGCTAATACTCTCAATAAAAAGTACGTATAGACAAACTACTCTTTCATACTTACAAGAATTTTATTAAATTTTGCAGAATGATCAACTCAACTTCTACAAGTTAATGTACTTACAGCAATTACTTACAAATATGGGCCAGTTAAGCTAGATGGATGGAGCGGCTTCCATCCTAGCTCTAAACTCCGCCACTAAGGAGCTTCTGCTCATGCAGAAGAATGTCACGATCTGAAGAGAATCAAATGCACATAAATAAACTGTTCTGAAATGTACCATGAGCATTATTGGAAGTAGACAGAAGTCAATAGCAAGTAGCTGCAACACGAATATATATTCTATTAGTGCACCACTGCTGGGTAGACTGAAGTTGCAAAAGCCTCAAAACATGAGGGAATACCACATGTGACTACAGTGGGCTGTAGTTTTCAAGAAGTTACTCTGGAAAAATTGAGCAGAAAACTGTCATCAGAAAGAAAAGAAAATCAGGGACTTGCTGTTGGAAAACCACTTTTTCAACCCAGGCCATTCTATGATTCAATGATTCTATGATTCTAAACAGTTTATACAAGTCATGTAATCTGACCTTGTATCTAACCACTTAATAACCTTTTGAAATAGCCCATATCTGATGGCACAGTTAGAGCCATCTTTATGTTGTGTTTGTGTATCTGTAACAAACAAGTCTTGATGAAGAAGATTGTAGTGCTTCAGAATCCAGTACTTAAATGTGATCACTCTAGTCCCCTATGATGCTTCATAGGTAAGTATTTTGTTATCATTAATGAAGGAAAATAAAACCTCTTCAGTTTGCCTCTTGCCTCCATGCTTGGTTGT